TTACATTCCAGTGTCTAACCCGTATCCAAAGGTTAAGCTCACCTTCAGGATAGACAAGGTAGTATACAGGATCTCTCGGGCCTGCACTTGGAAACGGGAGATCTTCTATCCAGGTGACTTGTATAAAGCGCCTTCCAGCAATACCAGATACGTCTCCAAATATTCTGTATGATACTGAGTCTTTGCTGTCACCCGTGTGGCGGGGCTTTCCCCGAAGAACCTCCTGAAAAACATATTGGCAGAGTGGACATGTAGTCGCGGAATCTTTGAGCGCTTCAAAGGTCGGTTTATAAGATACCATAAGACTGTCTTTTAATGACAGATCTAGAGACTTTGTCCAGGAAATGAATTTCTGGCACTCCGAGCAGAGCGCCTTGGGCTGACCGGCTAGTCGTGATTCGATATCCAGGGTCATCGTGGGCTTGGTTTGGCGTTTGTCTTTGACTCTGTCTGTGGAGATGATGCTGTGCATGAGGGGCTATGCCCGGTGGTCAACAGGGCTCGACAGGGAACTTCCGCTAACTACATGGTTGCGTCGAATCATAATTAATTGCGTTCCACTTATAACCCCTGAAGCCAATGATATCCATGATGTGATAATTATTCAGCATTTCTGACGGTTGATTACGATAGCAGGAGACACACTGGGAATCAAGTACCTACATAACCGTGTCCAACCTACCGGCAAACTCTCCGCACCTAGTAGTATTGATTCACCTTTATGGTTGCTATGGTCATCAATCACTACCATGTTGCGGAAACTTCCATGCTCGCGTCGCCAATGAGCGGGGTATAACTTGAATGAGCGTCATGCATAATCATGGATGTCTCCACGCTTAGATGAGGAACTTTGATCTTGCCATCTCAGTCGCAAGATTGAATGATCCGCCGTGATTCAAATCTCTGACAGGCTCATAAGATGGACAGATTCTTGTATAACATCTCCTAGGTGAATCCGGAGTGCCGAAACGGTGATCCACAACGGACCGGAGCGCAAGTGGAGAACGGCATTAAAGTGGATACCACGGCAGAACCTCGGGTTATCTTTCACCTGCACGCAAAAAACAGGCAAAGAGACTTCAAACTCTGGAGGTTTCTACCCTGTGGGGGACATGTTGCTAACCCAAGTAGGTATGTAGGCCATGATCGTCGAGGCTAATCCCATTCGTGGACAAACCAGCGCGGAGAACGAATCAGTTTCCAGGGGCACGAGGAGGCAGGCCGTCGGCAATGCTTCCCGCTAAGGTAGCTCGAGGTGCCATCAGCTGCAACCTTCACCTGACGTTAATCTATATGGAGTACCGAGTAAATAAAAATAAAATAAAAATAAAAATAAAAAGGGAAAGGCGGACAATAAAAAAAGGTGACCGAGAACAGAACCGAGAACCGAAACTGGTTATAATCAAGTGTCATCGCTTCCGTTGCAGAGGCGCCGTGACTGCCCCTAGACTTTCCAAACCCCAGCATCTCGTCCAAGGTCGAAGAACAAGGGGACATTACAATAGTTGCGACCATGGTGAACGTCGTGACACTCGGCTTGCTTGCCCTCTCCACCGTCTGTGCCCCGGTCGTTGCACAGTACATTGGAGGCGACACCTCTGGCTGCGGCAAGACTCATTGGTTCAATGGCATTACACAGTACCGCACCGTCAAGTCGAGCGGCCAGGACCGCAGCTATGGCGTCCACCTGCCGAGCAATTACTCAGAGAGCCACAAGTATCCCACCATCATCGGCTTCCATGGCTCGAGCAGCATCGGCCTGTTCTTCGAGGTTGACACCAGCCTCGATGATGCGAAATATACTGGCGACAAGATCATGGTGTATCCCAATGGTGTGGGCGGTGCCTGGGCCGGAGCCAACTACTCCAAAGCCACCGTTGGCCAAGACCTCCAGTTTGTCTGGGATATGCTGGGTGATCTGAGAAGGAACTTTTGCATAGATAGTGCCAGGATCTATGCCACAGGTCTGTCCAACGGCGGTGGTTTCGTCGACACTATCGCCTGTAATGCCACTGTCGGCGGCGAGTTCGCTGCCTTTGCCCCCGCATCCGGCTCTTTCTATACCAACAATAATGCCAACCACGGTGATTGCAAGCCTGCTCGCGTACCCACTCCGATTCTCGAATTCCACGGTGGTGCCGATGCCGATGTCAAGTACGCCGGCGGCGAGGGCGAGGGCGGCATTGAGCCTTCCATACCAGACTGGTGAGTCTACATACGAGAATTGATTAGAATATGAGCTGATAAGAGAACTTGTAGGCTTGGCTGGTGGGCGGAACGAAACCAATGCGACCAGCCCAATGTGCAGGAAGATTTGTTTAGCGGCGACGTGCACCACCTCAGCTGGACGTGCAAGGGTCAGAAGGGCGTTCTGCAGCACTACAAGACTGACTCTCAGAGTATGAGCAAATTCCCCCTCCCTTCCTACCTATCTGGGTTCAGTTGACTGATGAGAGAATATCGGTTTAGAGCACGATTGGCCCTCGACCGAGATCAACTTCTCACAGTTGGCTGCCGGTGACAAGCCAACGCACATCGAGGCCAGTGCCCTTATTCAGGACTTCTTCATGAAGTATACCCGCCCCGCCGCCTAGGAAATATCGGTGAAACGGCGAGGAGCTGCTTATTAGACTACTTTCATATCGTCGACGAGATGTCATGGTGTCGTGTTATCTCAATCTGCCATATCGATTGAACGCTTTTACTTTTAATAGGAATTTAACCCGTACATGAACGTTCTGGAAATGTGTTGGTTAATCAAGGCTCTCTGCATCGGATAGAACCGTGGCCCTTCCTACCACGCACGTTTTCGAAGGCTATGAATACTCATCACCTTTAAGGCAATGCTAATGATACACGATAATACGACTCTGCCACCCCCTCCATCAGCTGTTAAACATCCATCTCCCACCATCCATGCTGGATATGCTATAGACTGGAATGAAGCCATCACCAGACACATACGACAAGTTCTTGCCCAAGGTTCAGTGGGCTTCTATTTGTTGCGGTCAGTGGTCCTGAAAACGGAAATTACATGACTCTATTGTCGGAAGACGCTGAACCTACTTGTAACTTGCTAAAGATCACGTGCCAGGAATTTGTCTTACATGGGAACGGATAAAACGGAAGCATTTAACGCATCTTCAATCATGTTATTATGGAGCACCTAAGACTCACGATAACCCTCTTGCTGATCTGAGCCTAATTATCTCATTGCCTAGTTTACAATGCGACGCTGCGGCGGCCATTCGGCACTCAATTGAGAAGGTCGATATAAACGTCACACGAGTCCACATACTCTAGAATATGGATTAATGATACGGAGTTTATGTGTCCTATATCTAGGATGAAACCCCCCCCCGTGTTGTTGTTGTTGTTGTTGTTGTTGTTTTGGCCGGTAAATATTTAATGTTGTGTCGGTTCATATACGCTCTATAAACTTAGCCCTCCATGTCGCTCAAAACTGTACTGTCGCTGCTGGCCGCTATCCAGGCTGTCCAGGCCGACTTCTCGCATCCGCTGCACTTCAAGAAGGTCGATGCGGTGGCTGCAAAGAGCATTGCCGCAGCAAAGGGACGGGCGGTACAGGGAACTGGCGATCTGTTTGCTGACCAGGTATTGGAATATCTACCCTAATCTCGTGTTATTGAGATGCTGATATAGACAGGGCTTCTGGTTCTCTCACTTCACCATCGGTGGCAGCCCCGATCTGGAGATACTGATTGATACCGGCTCTTCCGATGCCATCTTGAACCCCGGCATCTACAAGCCCGGCCCCAAGTCGGTCGACACCAACACACCCTTCAGGATTGCCTACGCCACGACGAATCCCGATGGATCTGGATCTGTGTCTGTATGGAAGCGCAAAATACAATCGCCAAATGAGTACTTGAACATTTACTGACCACCGGCAGGCTTCGGGCAAAATCTACCAGGACGTCATCACCCAACATGGCGCTAACCTGACGGTCTCCAAGCAGTACCTCGGAGCCATCACCAAGCCCACTTCGCCCGCGACGTTCCCCCACGATGGCCTCATCGGCTACGCAGGCATCGACGGCAGCGCTCTCGGTAAGACGCCGTTTTTCCAGAGCCTCTGCGACCAAGGCTCGCTGTCGTCCTGCCGCTTCGGGCTGGCGCTCAAGTCCGACCAGACCGGCACGCTCTACTACGGCTCCGTCGCGACGGACCGCTTCAGCGGCAACTTGACCTCGGTGTCGTCCCGCGAGGAGTGGACCGTCACCGGCGACGTCACTCTAAATGGTTCGACGGTTCTTAGGAGCGTCTCCATCATCACCGACTCCGGCACGACAGTCATTTTCGGGCCTACCTCACAGGTCAAGTCGCTGTTCCAGCAGGCGGGCATTCATGCGGTGCAGGACAGCCACGGCGTCACCGGCTACTACGCCTGCGACGCGCCGCCCACCATCGGACTGGCATTTGGCGGCAAAAACTTCAACGTCTTGCCCGAGGCCCTGGCGTTCAAGAGGAACGGCAACAACTGCACGGCCAGCGTCCACGGGTCGAATGCGTTTGGCGGCCAGTGGCTGGTCGGACAGGCCTTCTTTCAGGGCAAATACATTGACCACAATGTCGACGCTGGGACTATGGGCTTTGCCAACTTGCAGTAGTAGTAGTCGTCATTTATTCATGTTGCATGGAAATCAGTAATTAGAAACTACGGCAGTGTGTAGGTGGCTGATTGCTACCAAGGTAGGTATAAATATAAATACAAATCATACAGCGCCTACCTATTCCTCCATATCATGCCTAGGAACCCCTGCCCAAACACTCATATAGTATTTTCCCTTTTTTACCTTTTAAAAAGGGACCCCGTAGATATTATATCAGCAAGGTTAAACCACAGATTTATAGTACTATAATCACTATAATTATAGCACTTTGGCAGCCATTCTCTAGGCGCGGCTAAGCTATTATCTCCTCCTCCATCGTAGAAGATGCTGTATGTATAAGTCCCTCTATCCCGCAAACAATCACATACGACCATAGGCAGTAGAAAACTCGGGGTCCCGTCCGCTCCCCCATAGATAAGCTCTTGACCGGCAGATTAGTAGTTGAGTGGGTGACCATCAGCGAACACCGGCTGTTGTATGTTTTTTTCTTTCCTCATCATATCGTTTTTGTGGATCTTGATATGATCTTATCGCTGAGTGAGCGAGGGTTGGGTGAAGTTTGACCACTGATGTGGGGGCAATACTTGGAAAAGGTGCGCAGTAATCTCTACTATAAGTAGAAGAATTCTGTTCAAAGAAATACTCAATAAGATACCCCATATAAGCTTAATTTCTTACCATCACTTTGTATCGTAACCATGTTGGATATTGCTATCAAATTTATCTCAATTCGCAGGTTGATTGGTCTACCCTAGACTACGACAAAGGTTGTTCGACGTCCTCCAAATAATACATCTAGTCTGTTTTTTTGGTATAAAAGGGAAGAAAGGTTATAGGCAAGCATGATTATTTCTCGGAAGCGGAAACTATCACAGACTGCAGGCGAAAACACATACATGTACCATATGGACTTGATGAGTTTGGTTAAGACTAAACCCCCTTTCGCTCGTTATCCTGTGTCATCTCAGACACTGTTTAACAAAATGTTGATAGTGGCGTAACCAGGGAAGTAGTACTATTACATCTGCTGGCAGTTGGAAATGAATGTCTAACACCGAAATTACATAATGCTACAACTAAGCATGGATGTTGGCGAAGATCATATACAAATTGAGCAAGAAACCAAAGCCTCTCCAAAACCTCTAGCGCCGACTCAACGTCGCTATGTAAGCCATTAAGGGGTGGAGGATTTAAGCCGACCACGATTTCTGAGATTGTCAAGTAGAGGACAAAAACAATGTACACATCCCCATATAGATCGTCTACTAATGTCAGGCTTTTTCTGTACTCCCGTTGGGCGATCTCATTGTGCGTGTTCGGCTTAAATCCTCCACCCCTTGCCCGTGAGAGTACGTCTTGAGTTTCCAAGGCACTTCATTGCGTGAGACAGAGCGATCCTCGAGGTGCCCTCGCATCAATACTACTTACGGCACAAGATCACCTAGCCAAACTTGTTTGCAGGCTCGATGGAAAAAGAAAAAAAAGTATTGTATTGTAATGATGCCAAGTAGCTGCTTGGTATCTTCCTAAGGTGCATTTGTCTTTCAGCTCTACAGCCCACCCCAGGCTCCTGGCACCGTTCCCGGCTTTTCAACAAATGAATAAATGCCTGAACTACCAAGGCAGCTTCCTGAGAAATGTAAGAGCTCGCTCACTCGGTGCAGCAAGAACACTGGGTCTTTGTGCAGCATCGAGGGTAGTGGCCAGTGCAGCAGGTGGCGCCCTCACAGGGCCAGCTGCACCGATAACACTCTTGATTTCATCTGGTGAGCCGATGCTGACGGTCATATATCATTGGGGGGGAGGGGGTAAAAGAAATGGACTAGTTACCTCTTTTCTCGAGAGATGCGAGTGCTTGGCTCGGAATGTGCGGTGTTGTCTCGTCGCGGTCGACTTTGCCGATTCCCTTTCAGCACGAAACACGTTATACCATCACCGATTGAGCTCACGAACCTGTAATTGAAAAGTCCTGCGCTGAAGGTTGCGCCATCGACGTTGCTGGAATTCGGATTAGTATCCCACGGGCACAAGATGGCTGGACGAGGTGGCAAGATACTCACCCAAGAAGGCGGCGACCAGTGCAAGTGTAAAGGCACGCATTTTTTCAAGATTGATGGTGGCGAGATATCGTCTTGGATAGCAACGACTGTATTAGATTGGAGGCAGAGTTGTTTACCAAAGGGGGGCAGAGCTGATCTTTATACACAAGCACAGAGGGCACAGAGACTGGATCGGAGAAAGGAAGCCAAGCCAGCCAGCTATTCCACAAAAAGCCCAAGGAGAGCTGAATGACTGAAACATTGTTTCTTTTTCCGATGTATCCCTACCAAGTACTCCGTAGTAAGAGTAACAACAGGGTGTTCCTGTCCTTGTCAGTTCATTGGAGCTCTGCCTGCGGGGATCCTAGAAATAATGAGCGATTCAAGGGTGTGGCCCTGAGTGAAGGATGATCGGGAGAAAAGACCCTGGATTTTGGTCAGAGGCCCTCTCCTATGAAGCAAACATCGGTCTTCATGTGCTAGAGGGCAAGATGAGAAGAAAGCCATGGTACCTATCGGACTGTCGGCGCTTGATGTTGCATCTATGCTACAGAGCTAAACCACCGCAAGCAAAGTCACGACAACGCCAGCTATCCCCGCCCGATCTATCATGCTAGTACTTCTGGGTTTATAGTAGACATCATTTGTCTCAGACAATGCTACATCAACTGGCCCAAAGTAAAACAAGTAAGCTAGTTCATAGCTGAACAAGCGATGAGCATACCACCGAGCATTCTAGTGAGACAACGTATCGGTTTGTCGTTTGACCAAGAAAAAAAGGAAGTGAAAAGTGCTGGAAAGTTACTTCAAGATGGCTTCGTATCTCATTGATGCCAGCTCAAGAGGTTTCGCACCATCAGCATCATGGATGGAGAATAAACATTGTTCAAGTAAACTTTAACCATCTCCGACTTGATTCTAAGATCCATGTAAAAGACCAATTTAATTTCTTAAATACCACGTCGACACCAACTCTCTCCTGGTTCGTTGTCAATTCACACTGTCTTCCTTTTCTGCAAGACTCTGATGAGATAAAATATGAAGAACAGTAAAATGCGCCGATTCTTAGGGAGTACAGCCGCAGCAATCAAGGTCTTCTTATTTCCAGAGATCACGTCTGTTGCTGCTGCCAAGTCTCACGTCGACGTTGATGTTCAAAAAGAGTCGCCTGTCAACATTAACAAAGAGTCATTTACCAATGCTGACGAAGAAGGGCTGTGTTTCAACGCCGAGGAAGAGCTGTCTGTCGGCATTGACAAGGAATCGTCTTTCGATGAGGACAAAATGAGACTGGGAAAAGACCCCTGGGCTATCACATACGAGCTCGATCAGAAAACACCTATGCACAAACTCTCCGACGAGATACTGCTCGAAATACTGCGCCATCTCCATCCTGAAAGCATGTACACAGTCCGACAGTCCTGTCGTCTGTTCATGCGACTTTTTGAGGGACACGAATCCACTATTTGCGAATGGAGTACGGCGGTTCTATGCCTCCTTTTCCTCACAAAAATGGCATATCAAGAAGGCATATAAATATGCTCAAAGTTCGTGATATTTTGCGGAGAGACCTTCTCTGTTCTTCATGTCCTTCATCAAAAGAATTAGAAGAAAGGAACCACCATATAGCACAGTTGCAGGAGCCCATGTATTGTGGCGCCTGTAAATACAATCATCCAAAGATTCTCTTCTCCCCTGCCCAAAGACAAGTTTCGGACAAGAAAAGAATCTGCATTGGAAGGGGGGATGTGTTCATCTCTGAAAGCACAAGGCTATTGGCTGGAAGGACGTTGAAGGTGTCGCAAGCCGTCCCGATAAAGACCTTAAGAACATTGCATGCCATGATAGCTCTCATATCCTGAACGTTTCACTAGAGGATCGAGAGATGATAGATAAATTTCGTGGATCGAGAAATTCACTACTTTATCCATCCGTGAACCTGGGTCGTTTGGTTAGTGATGATGGGACAACCAACTGCTTTATATTCGAGCTTTTGTGGCTCGTCGTCCCGTTCGCCACCAAGGCCAACCGGTTGGCGACCATAGCACACCTTCATAATTAGTTGAAGCTATTCGAGCTTACGACTGGAATCAGTCTCTGCCCTCACGAGTCATTCAGTAATATCAAGATTTTGCGAGCTTTCGACCCAAACAACTGTGGCTGTTTGCGTCAAGACCTTCCCGTCATTCACCCCCTTCGGAATGTCAAACCGAATATGGCGCATGCTGTTTATGCCACTCCAAGCAATCTCAAGGCAATACAGCTAAGAAGCTCCTTGCATCTCAGAGATGCCTGAGTGACATTGCGTGCTTTCTGTCCAACTCTGTTTATCATTACTCCTCTTGCAGTACATGCTCTACAATTTACCGGTGGGAGCGGGCCAATGAGATAGTCACACTTCACCGATACACCTCGGCATTTTTCGACAACCCCAATGATCCAGATTGGTTGGAGTTGATGGACTTAGACTTCTATGACCCAGAAAATTCGGCCCAGGGCAGCACATCATGGTGTGTTGATGTCAAATGTGCTTATTCTTTACGCAGATTGATGCTTGAGGCGGCATGGGAAATGCGTGTAGGGAGGTAGACTAAACTGAGAATATTCCGAGAGCTCTCCTCATCAGAACCATGATTGTTCTTGGCTAAACAAGAAGTCAACAATAAGCTCTTGGATACAATAGTGTATTTTAAATACACACAGATTAATAATGAAACTACATGTACATATATCAGGCAAGATTTACTTCCTCACGATTATCCTTTGGCCTTTTTCTTTTTCTTTATATAGCAATTTTATCTCGACCGGCAAGCAGTATCGGAAGTACGATGATCTCAACCAATTCCAAATCGACGAATGCAACCATGTGTTCACACTGGCTATCGCAACTCTCAAGACTACCGCAATCACCAAAGGCTACCTCAAGACACTTTGGTGTGAGGTGTTTCGCCGCTGGAACAGCTCGAGGGCGCCTGCAAAGCCAAGATGCTGGCCGAGAACAGCTAGCGAGTCAAGCCTGGAGGTTGGAGTCTTCAACGGGGATCTCCCGCTGGCAAGGTGAGGCACATGGCATGTTTGGCTAGGCAACAGGATACCAACTATGGGGTTTGCAATCTAGTGAGCAACAAGACCAACGGAAGAAAGACGAACCCGCATTCCTGAAAGTACATGTGAATGGTTCAGCCAAGTCGCTTGGGTGGCTCTGGGTGGATTCAGTGAACCAGACAGTCAACGAATCCTATATTAACTTCTAGAATGAGGTGCGCATGGCAGCGCTTATGAAAGACTGTATGGTTCAATATGATGCGGCAGAAGAGGATCGGGTCTCAGCGTGGAACTGCAAATTGGCTGTTTACACTGTTTTCCATTCACTCCTGGACCAAAACTAGCTGTCCCTCTGTTGTCGCTGGGGATGAGAAGTTGCTGGAAGAGTTGGAACCTAT